AATAATATTATATTATTAAAATAACTGATAAAATCTTTATAAATATTTTAATTTTGATTAAATTAAAAAAAATATTATTAACAACTAATTAATTTTATTTATTATAAAAAGTTCTTTTTATATAATTAATATATAGTTTAAAGTTTAAAAATTTTAAAAAATTAATATTTTAAAATAAATTTATAAATTATTATATAAATTTTAATTAATTTTTTTATATTTATTAACAAATTAAATAAAACTTAATTTTATAAAATATTTTATAAATATATATTTAATTTTAACTTATTTTTTTTTATTATATTTAATTAATTTTAATTTTAAGTTTATAATTTATAATATATAAATATTAAAAATTTAAATTTTATATATATTTTTTATATTTAGTATTTAAATATATTTTAATATAAATAATATAAAAATATATTTGATAAAATTTTAAAAAAAATTAAAATTAGTAATTTTTTTATTTAAAATAAATTATAAAATTTCATAATAATCATGCTCTGTGCATTCACATTTGATGTTGATATGTCACAGTATAATGATAAAAACAACATAATGATAAAAATATGAATAATTAGAACTTCAAAAATTAATATCTCATCATTATGCTACTAATTTATTATAATTAATTTATCTATATCATTCATAGTAGCTGTATTATTTACAAAATGTTTATATATATTATTAATCTTTTGTTAAGTTGAATCTGTGATATTTTTTTTTAAAGCTCTCTCAACATATTTGACTCTCTTATAATGTTCTTTTTTTGCTTTCTTCTTTTTATATTATGTAATCTTTCTATTTACATCTTTGACAGTGAGTATATCTTCTACTTGAATCTGCTGATATGTATTTTTAGTGCTGCAGTGTTTGATTACAAGATAGTAACTCTCAATCTCACTCTCTCTTATAGCATTGAGTTCTGTCTAAATAAGACTGTCTTGGAAAATCTTGTTCAATCAATTGCTTATATGAGGTGATTTAAAATTAAGTATATTTTTCATATCTTATATTGTTTTTTTTGTCACTTGAATATGATGTTGTAGCTTCTCAATTGTTTTGAGTGAGAATAGCTGTGATGAAGCAGTATCTAAACAGTTTGATTGTGATGAAAAGAAGTCTTCTTAATATATTTGCAACTCAGAATAGTTAGAAATCTTTGAATCTAGCTTAAGCAGTATAGATTGCAGATTGAATGAGATAATGCTACAATTCACAAAGTCAGTCTGAATAGTAGAAGGTTGAAAAGTTTTTTTACAGATATTAACTAGATTCTGTAGAAATTGATGTTTTTTATACTACTCATATCTGTATCACATAGCTTGATTAACTATCTTTGAATGATAGTACTTATACTGCTGAAAAGATATATCATCTAGAAATTGCAGTATATGAGTTGAATGTGAAGAAAATTCATTTAGAATAATCTTGTGAAGATTACAGTATTGTAGAAATTCTTCACTGAGATGAAATTCATAATTGTCAAGAAGTAGTAATTGATGACTGTCTTGCTGATATTTTTTTAGAGATCTCATTAAAGTGCTAAATTCATACAAAGCCAATCTCATCATTAATATAGTCAGTATCTGATGTTGTAATTGTATATCTGCCTGGTAGATTGCTTTGTATATATCAATCTTCAAGTTGAGTTTTGAATTTCATAATGATGAAGAGATTCAATACCTCATCATCTGCTAAAACACACTCAATCACAGTGATCAATTCTCAAAAATATGATGAAGTTATAACTGAATTAAAGTCTTTAAAAGCAGTAATAACCCATTCTCTATGTTCTTGATCTTCTTGAAAATCAATCTTATTGAAGTTGTAGATATTACTAGTTTGAAATATGTACTTTTTGAAGTAAGATTTTCAAATAGTCAAATCACATCTTGATGTAGCTAATATTCTCAACAGCAATTCTTTTTGAATTCATTATCTTCTGCTTAACTCTTTTATATTCATTCAAGTTTTGTATATATTGATAGATTCATATCTTTCTGACCACAGATGAAGAGATTGAAGAATCAGTATGATGATGTTTAAGAATGAGATTCATGTTATCTTGAATCTGCTTTGCAATCACTAAGCAATTATTTCTATTTATATGAGCTATTCACTCTTTCAATACATCTTTCTGGCTCTTGCTAAGCTTTTTGTTCAGTGCAGTCTTTGTATTGTATGTTTTTCTTTCATTAACTCTTGCTTAAAGATGTTGATAAGAAATGTTAAATTTGCATATCAAAGATAGAATTTTCTGTTTTCAATTATCATTATAAACTTCAATGATACTCTGAATATATTTTTCAAGATCATCTATCTTATTGATCATAATAATGGTGATATAATAATATTTGAAAATTGATTAATGAAGAAGTTGATATTTTTATCATTACACTGTTTTTATTATTATGCTATAACACATTCACACAAAATATAAATGCACAGAGACACAATTAATAATTATTAAAATTATTTTTTAAAACTTAATTTTTTATATTTAACTTTTAATTATATTAAATTAAATATTATAAATTATTTATAAAAAACTTTATTAATTATTTATTTTTTAAAAAAAGTATTTTTAAATTTTATTTAAATTTTATAAAAATTAAAAAATTAAAAAATTAATCAAATTTAATAAAAGTTTTAAATAAAAATATTTTGAAATTAAAAATTAGAAATTATTAATATTTTAATAAAATCTTTTTATTTATAAATAATTTTATATTAAT